GGGGAGGCGGCGAGCCGCGGGCTGTCGCCTCGGGGCCGGGCCCCTTCCCCCGGCCTTGTCCCGTCTGCTGCCCTTCGCGGCGCCGTCCCGGCCCTCACCCCGCGCCCTCTGCCCTCCTCTCCCGCAGGGCCGAAGCGTGCCGCCGCCGCCGTCTCCGCCGCCTTCCACAGCAGCGCCGCGGCCCGCGCCAAGGAGGACTATTACCAGGTGCTGGGGGTGCCCCGTACCGCCACCCAGAAGGAGATCAAGAAGGCCTACTACCAGGCACGTCCGACCGCGGGCCCCGCCGGGGGGGGACGCTGCCGGGACGGGCGGGCGACTGCCGGGCCGCGGCCGAGGGCCCGTAGGCAGATAGAGGAGTCGTAGCTGCCCGCGGCCTCCCTTGTAGGGCAGAGACCAAACCTGCCTTTGGGATAGATCCCTGTGGTCGGACCCGCTGGAGATGAGGGGAGGTCGTGGTGGGAAGGCTCAGCACGTGGGTTTGGGGAGCTGTTCAAAAGCGTGGTCCGCCTGCGCTGGCATCTCGGGTCTGCTTCCGGAAGGTCCTGGGATTGCCGAGAGGTTCGGGAGCAGCTTCTGTAGTTCCTTATGTTGGGAAGATAATGCGAAGTGAAGGCTTTTAGCTCCCTAAAATACAGATAGCAAAGCCAAGCTTTGCCCAGCGTGTTTTTCCTGGCATGTGAGATACGCTAAAGTTACTTCTGTCTGTCTCTAATAGTTTGATTTTTGTTGTTTAGCTGGCAAAGAAATACCACCCTGATACAAATAAGGATGACCCTAAAGCTAAAGAGAAGTTCTCTCAGCTGGCAGAAGCCTATGAGGTAATATGCAGGGTTTTATCGTGATGAAAAGGAGGAAGGATTGGAGGTTAGATGGGGGGCAAACATTTCTTCTGTGCATTTCCCGTAAAACCATGGGTTCTTTTTGATGTCCTGTACTTCAGGCTTGAGTGCATCTGTCCCAGCGGTGTCTCCAGGACATCACTTAGCCCAAGTATCCGATTTAGCTGAGTATGGTTTGGACTCTTTCAGTTTGTGCTCTTTCTTCACAGTGAGTGACTGGCATGGATGCAGCGGTCACTGCCAGGGAATTATTGGTCGGCTTAAATAAACAAACAAGAAAACCTATCAGCAGTTACTAGCTGTTTGAGACAGAGGTACCTTCCACTGTGCTGCATCCCATCCCTGTTTATTCCTGCTCTTCAGCTCATTCAGAAATCTTCCTGTGCTGGTTTTTGCTCTTGTGGGTTTTCAAATTTACCCCAGCACTCTTCTCGCCGGCTTTCACCCGATGTATTAATGATCGACTATATAATGCAAGTTACTCGTGCTTATTATAAGTTAGTAAGATCTTGTCATTTTCCTCATGATGAGCTAAGAGATACCATGGAGGAAGGAGCTTTTCAGTAATTCATATGCTGCTGAGAGCTGGGATAGCCCTCCTGATGGTTTGAGAGTGGGCTTGTGGTGATAATGCCAGTAGCCTTGACTTCTCCTGAGGGACGCCGCTCTGCAGATACCGGCTGTCCAGTTGCTCGGGATCTGTACGGTGTCCTGATGGCATTGTTCTTTTGCCTCAAAGGTATTAAGTGATGAAGTGAAGAGGAAACAATATGATGCGTACGGCACAGCTAGTTTTGATCCTGGCGCAGCAGGTGCCGGCGCTGGGCGGCAGTACTGGAGCAGTGGTCCATCGATTGATCCAGAAGAGCTTTTCAGAAAAATCTTTGGAGAGTTTTCAGGATCCCCTTTTGGCGATTTTCAGAATGTTTTTGACCAGCCACAGGAGGTATGAAGTGCACTTATTTTCTGAGTAATGAAATGAAAATGAGAAGTGAAAAACTCAAAAGGTGGAGAGGGACACCAGTCTGTCACAGATCACTCCGGGAGCGAGCTTAAGCAAAGAATTTGCTTCTGGGAATGTCAGCACGTGAGTGTCCCATTGTATGGGTGGGAGAGTCACATATTGTTGGTAAGCCATGTAGATACATCCTCCACACCTGAATATCTTTTTTGGACTCTAGCTACTTCATCTGGTGTTTACTGACACCAGTTGGTGCTGCCAAACAATTCCATCATTGTAGAGGCATCTTTCCTGCTGTACGTTGATTTACATATGTCTGCTTTGATCTGTAATGCTAAAAACCACAAAATACCTTTTAACTATAAAACAAGCCTTCCAGGATTAGTTTTGACTGCTTAATTGGCTTAATTTTGCAGTGGAGCCCATAGTAAACCAAAACCTATGTCTTGGTCTTTGTACTGCAGCTAAACGCTCTTCTAAGTATTGACAGTGTTTATTCATGTGCTGCCTTCAGAAATGCTTACTATTCAGTACTTCTGGCTTTGCTAAAAATGGCATTTCTATTATGAACAGAATTTCCTATTTTGTGCAGTCATCTTTGCTGAGGTAAAGAGTTTATTGAGGAAGAGCTTGGGATTCAGTGGGATTGAAAGCCTTCTCCTTCACCCATTGCTGCATTCTTCAGAAGCATCAAGAGTTTTCCTGAGGGCAGAAAAATGTTTGACTTTAATTTTTACTTCCTTCTTTTATTTTTTTAAATCTTGTTTCTGCTGCACAACTGCTCATCAGACTGGTGTAATCATTATTCCTGTAATGTTTGCTATCTTTCTGTACCCTTTTTTATTTACATGAGACAGATTATTGCTTCCTCCAGTGAGGCAGAACCCTTCTGAATCTGTTTCTCCCCCACCCCGCCCCCATTACCTGGATGTATTTTAAGCATTGTTTGATATTTGGCCTAAAACAATTTCAGTCTGCTTAAAACCCTGTTGCACATCAGCTGTAGATTGATGTCCATGTTTCCTGTACAGTATATCATGGAACTGACGTTCACCCAAGCTGCAAAAGGTGTTAACAAGGAGATTGTGGTGAACATCAATGACTCCTGTGAGCGATGCGATGGTAAAGGACACGAACCTGGTACCAAAGCACAGCGCTGTCACTACTGCAGTGGCACTGGCATGGTAGGTACTTTTTAAGACACAGGTTCTGCTGTGCTTTTCCTTGTTGAGGCAAGTCAGTCCCTTCCACAGTGAAAAATTCTCACTACAGTCATGAGCTTATCTTGGGTGAAACTGAGTTAATGTGGACTCAGATGTTAATTATGCACTAGGAAGATTTTCTTTGTATTAAAGAAGCACTCTGCCCAGCTAAAAGCACTAGCCTTCAGGGCAAGATCATCTGGTATTGTACATCCAGCAAACCATGTTTATATAATCGAACAGTTCTGAAATTACTTAACCATATTTATATAATGTAACAGTTCTGAAATTACTTGGGTGTTAAATGGGATACACTGAATTGAGGGGTGGAGGGAGGAGGAAGGTGATGATAGCCTAAGGGTAGTCATGAAATAAGAAGATGCACATTACTTACTGTAAGGAATGATCAAGCTTCAGGCTTTCAATTTCCATGCCTCAAAATGGGTACTAGCAATCAGTCTGTGACCAGAATATCTTTCTGTGCAGAACAGGTGTAGGTGGTCAGGGGAGACTGAAAGCTCTTCCCACTGTTTCCTCGTGTGCTTTGATCTGATGGGTGGCTTTCACGTTTCAGCCCATAGCTTAGCCTCCATAATGTTTTCCTGGACACTGGCAATAATTCATGCAAGTGGATTGTCCTCGGATTCCTCAAAATATAGATGTTTGTAGTTCCTTGTGAAATAGCACTGTAAGGAGCTTTGTTCCTGCTTGCGCATTAAAGCCTAGAGATGAAAAGTGCTGTGTTTCCCTTGAACTTGCTCATAGTAGTGAGGGTTTTTGGTTGAAATCAGAATGCGATGGCAATTGAATCTGATCCAGCGTCTCACAAGCAACATCCTCTTTGGATTTCTGAGCCACTTTTCTGCTCCACATCTTGCTAAAGGATATCGCTGTCCTGTCAGGTTGCACGTGCAGTTAGAGGGACTCAAATATGCTGGGCCAGTCACTGGCAGTGTTTTGTGGAAGTGAAAAGTACCATCTGAGTACTAAATATTTGTATGATCTGTGTTTTCTTCACTAGGAGACAATAAATACCGGCCCTTTTGTAATGCGATCTACGTGCCGACGATGCGGCGGTCGTGGTTCCATCATAACAACACCATGCGTAGTATGTCGAGGAACGGGGCAAACCAAACAAAAGAAAACAGTGATGGTTCCTGTGCCAGCTGGTTAGTGTTGTACTTGTGTGCTTCTCTCTGTTAAGTTATAGTTACTTGCTTCCACTTGGCCAACAGCAAGGCACTTGCCTCCAAAGCATGACTGGTCCCTGCCAGCTACGAATGTGAGAGCAACGTAAGAAGTTTTGCTGCAGAGAAGTTATCTTAAGAACAAAGTGGGTTGATAGGTTGGCAATTGAAAGGGCTAGTAAGGAGATGAACTTTCTGGCAATGGATATAAATGTTTGCTTTGCCCTTCCTGAGCTGAGGTTTTGGTTCTTGCATGGATCCATGGTTTTGAAGGCAGGTTTTGAAGAGTGTAACTCAAAAGGTTTTGTTGTCTTGGGTCTTTCATTTGTCCTTGATGAAGCCTGGGGGGAGGGTGGGAATCTTGAAAGCCTTAGCTTGGCTCAGAACAGTGTACTGATGGCCTTCCTCACCAGAGAGGATAAAATGCATGGTGGGGCTGAAGACTGACTTATTTTGAGACTGCCCTGGATGAGCAACCTGTAATTTTCCTGCAGCTTTTGGAGGCTGCCCAGTGTTCCTTAGTGTGATGCATTTCCCAAAAGAATTGAAGTAACAAGCCTGCTTGGGGCATAGTGATCACCTCAGAGGTATAAACGTGTGCTGACACCTCCTCCCTTTGGCCACAGCTCCTGGGCTCCTGTGGAGAGTGTTACTGTGCTGCCCACTGGTAGGTCTTGTGCCTTGCGCTCCTGGATGTGTGGGTGCTGCTGTGGTGGCCGGCTTTTGGGGATGGCAAGAGTTGTAGGTATTCAAGTAACATGTGGATTATAATGCAAGGTAACATTCCCTCTTTTTCTTTGATTGCAGGCGTTGAGGATGGACAGACAGTTCGGATGCCCGTGGGGAAGAAAGAAATTTTCATTACGTTCAGGGTATGTATTGTTATATTGTTGGCTGTTTTCATTATTTAAGTTGGTTGCTTGTTCCCTTTGCAACTGCCTGGGAAGTGACTGACTGAATGGGGGATGGAGGAGGAAGAGCGAGTGATCCTTTGAAACAGCTGAGGTAACATGATCCATATGAACTTTGTGAGATAGCAGAAGATCGGCATTGTAACAATGTTAGGTGTTAGGTTAAGTCTGCTCATTAAGAATTGCGCTGCTTGTTCTGGGATGAGGCCCTTATGGTACTGTGCATCAAAATGCAGAGTAGGTTCTTGATGCCTTGAGTCTTTGACTGTGAGATGTGAAGGAGCTGTCTGCTTGCACGGGTGGGGAGCACTGAAGAGGGTTGTGGGAATGCCCGCGAGAATCTGGCTGGTCAAGTGTCCTTTTGCAAACACAGGTTAAGTAAGTGCTGCTTTGCACGTTTTGTAGCTGGGGTCCTCTTCTCCTCTAGGTATCCTGTCCTGTGCATCTCTGTCAAGGAGAAAATTTTTTTCAGAACCTTTTTTGTGGTGCGGGACGATTTAATTCTCTTCCAGCTTGTGAGGCCATGGCAAAGGTGCTTGCCTCCCTCTTGTGGCTTTCCCCTGTTCAGGGTAGCGGAGAAGGCAGTGTCTTCTCTGTCTCCACAGAATCATATTGACACTGATAAACTAACAACAGGATTAGGGGAGGGAGTTGCTGTGATAACAAGCAGGCATCCTCCTAAGCCTCTGGCTAATTATGGTTATGTGAAGATCTGTGTTTTTCTAAAAGACTGAACATTAACTTACTCTTCTTACCCATGCAGTTTGTGGATGGTAAAGGGTCAGACTACAGCATTGTGATATGTTTTATTCTGAGAACCTTCAAAGCAGGTTACCATGAGAACTTTGTGGTGGTGTGCTCACTTTTCTTTGGAACTGCCTGCCTTTTAGGTTCAAAAAAGTTCTGTGTTTAGAAGAAATGGAGCAGATATCCACTCGGACCTCCTTATTTCAATAGCACAGGCTGTTCTGGGAGGCACAGCGAGATGTCAAGGCTTGTACGAGACAATCAATATCACGGTAAGTACCATTATGGGGAAGAGCTTGGGCATAAATCGATGCGGGACAGCAGAGACTTCTCCTTAGCTCAGAGGTGGTGCAAATCTCCCAAGTCTGCCCGTATTGTGTCTCAGACTTCTTCAGGATTGAGCGTCAGGTAGTTTGTGACCTGCTTGGTCACACGTCCTTTCCTATTGCTGTGTAGGGACACAGAAAGGAAGGGCTGAGTGGATTGCTGGACAAATCCCGTCCAAGGTCTATAGATTGTGCAAGGTTCTTTACTCGTTCCTTCAAAAGCTTTTCTATCATTACTGACTTAGCTTCTGAATGTGTCCAGATGCATGAATGTACCAAATCTCTCCCATCCTACTTTGAAGCTTGCTGGAGAAGTAGTTAATTTTTATAGACATGTAATGCAATTACTATATAAATGGTTAAACTAGGGTAATAAACGTGACACCTCTGTGTTCATAGATACCCCCTGGTATTCAGCCAGACCAGAGAATTCGAATGAGTGGGAAAGGCATTCCCAAGGTTAACAGTTACGGCTATGGAGACCACTACATTCACATAAAGATAAAAGTTCCTCAGTAAGTAGAGCTAATACAAATTTCTGTGAAATCTTGAACTTTTGCAAAAAACATTGCTCAGAAAGATTTTGTGAAAATTCCTTACTGTTTTATCAAGATGATTCATTTCTCACTCTGCTTTTTATTCTAATGCGAGGTGATACACTTTTTTTTTTTTTTTTTTTTAAAATAATACCATTTGGCAACCCAGCTCTAAAAACCCTAAACCCTGGAAATATATAAGTAGTTCTGCACCTGTGTATTTGCCTGGCTATCTGCAATTCTGTCTTGGATCCTGGTTACATAAATTCAGTGTTCTGGCTTATAAGGTGTCTGTGCTCTCACACCTACAGCTCAAAGGAACTGAACTCCTTGGCAGTTGCTTCAGATTGCTTGGCCACCCTTGGCCCCTGTGGTGAAGGAAGCTTTTTAGCTTGTATTGCTGCACCTGGCAAGGGAGTTCATTTCCTGAGGTCTCCCTACCAGATGTGTGTTCTGTTGCAGCTCCACACGCTTCTCCTCAGCATTTAAAAATATTTTGGTTTTTCACTGCAGTTTGGTGAAATGCAGTGGGTCCTATCTCTCCTCTTCCACTGGGGCTTATTCTTTATAGATTGCTCATTTTAAGACCACCATAGGGATTCTCAGTATATGCCAGGTGTGTTTGTCTTGTACTTCCAGTAGCTGCCTCTTGTGTGTGCTGCCGGAGAAGGTTAAGGAGGTCTGTAGATACATCTGTCCCTAAAGAGAGCGGTAACCAACACCTCTTTCTTTGACCTGCAGGAGGCTGACGGATCGCCAGAGAGCCTTAATGATGAGCTACGCTGAGGATGAGGCAGATGTGGACGGCACAGTGAACGGGGTCACAAATACAGCGTCAGGTGAGCAGTGGGAATTGGTGCTCCTTCCTCATGGAGTTGGCATGGGAGTGCAGAGCGCTTCCTGAGGGTTCCTGGGGAGGAAGGTGAGCCAAGGTCACCTTGAGACAGTGTGTCAGCACAACCTGCCAAGCATGTTTTATTGGAAATAGTTTTAGTATGATGTTAATAGGCTGTAGCACAAAGTAAAGAGGTGGCTTCTTCCCAGAAAGCTTTACTCGAATACTTACTGGGCAAATCTGTGCATGAATAGAGAGAGGGTATTGAGGTACTCTGGGGTCCTGACAAGTTGTGCTGAGTCTTGCTGTGGTGATGAATGCCTTCTGCTCCCTGCTTCTGCCCCTGTGCCAGAAGCAACTTGTCTTAGTAGCAGAGGTAGAAAAAGAGAATGTGTTTCAGGCCAGTTTTCTCTGTGAGCTAATCTGTTGTGCTTCTGACTGCAGTGGGGACATTCGTCCTTGAAAGCTGAAGGGCAGTACTGCTGTCAAGGCTGCTCTAAGCCATACTCTGTGCACGTGGGGGAACCTGGGATAGAAATGTTCATTGGTGCTGAGTGTTGGCTCCAGTCAGTAGACAGTGTCCAGTGTGATGGAGGGAGTGAAGTCAGCTGGGAGCTTTGTAAAGCTGCTCTTTCAGCTCCAGATCAAAAATTCTGATTCCGCAGTTATGTGTTTTAAGTTTCAGGGGTGAGGTACCTGGCATCAGTAGCAGCTAAAGGCAAAACATACGGTAAAACAGTAAGGCGAGAGCTTTGTCTTTCACTACTGGAAAACAATTTTTTCTTTGCTCGTATTGGAACAATGAAATTCTGAAAGCTGGTTGGGTTTCCTTTTATGCTTGAAACCAAAAAGGACATTTATGACTGCGTACAGCTAGGCAAAGGTGAGAGTCTTTCAAAGCTGCTAAATGATCCCAGGAACTTGGGTCCTCTCTACTACACATGCCAAAGCCTGAGGAATATAGGGTGAAGTTCAAGATATTGGAAGGCAGGATCTGCCAAATACTCACCAATGTTATGTTTTATAGTGCTTCCGTAACACAGAAGTTACGTCTTTTCTGCTGAGGGCAAGCATTAAAGGTCAGGCTTGGGAGGAAGGGAAGAGATCTCTAAGCACAAAACTTTCATTCCAGCTTTTTAAAGGCATTTATGTGCCAAAGGGAAAAAAATGCTCTCCAAACTTGTTTTTTAAAAAGCAAACCTGCTAGTTTTTACCACAATTAAGCAGCAAGGTAGATTCAAAACAACGCCAGTAGTTTGCAGTACAGAAACAGGCTGTTGCTGAAAGTGTGTCCTTGCTCTGGGAAGCAGAAATGCCCTGAGTGGATGGAGGTGTGTTCTGCCGCAGGCCTCAGTATTTCATACCACTGCATCAGTCTGAGCTCGAGAGTCAGCTGTGGGAGGATGGGGAAGACTGGACTTTGTGTTCTCTGTGCGCAAAGAAAGCTTGAGGAGGATTTGGGGGTCCTGTTATTGCCGTTTTTACTGTAGAAAAAAGCAGATTAGCAAAGAATTCTCCTTTGTTCTTGCTGTAGCCACTTCTGGAGGGACAAACAACTTCTCAGGACCTGTTCATACATGAAAATTATGCTCATTGTTGCCAGTAAGATTCCTTAGCAAGGCACTTGTTCTGAAATACTTGTAGCCTTTTTCATTCTAGCCTGAGTTCTTTTTCTCCCTGATACTGTTTGTCTGAGCATTGCTTGTAATTATACAAAGCAGGCTCCCGGTATGGTTTTGCACTGCTTTGCTCTAAAGGGTCATGACACAACCATGAAACAGGAACAGAGTTTGTTCCAGGGACCACCAATACAGGTTTTTTTTTCCCTGTAAAGTCATGGCTGGCTGTGGTCAAGTTGACAACTTGTTTTTAGTTGGCAGACTCAATTCCAGGTGCTTGTTTCCAAAGCCTGTGGGGTCCTTGACTTGATTGTGCAGCATGAGAATTCCCTCACCAGTTGGAGGGCTGGGGAGAGGGGAAGGGAATGGTGTTACCTGGGCTCACGGTCATCTTTTCCACTTCTGGGGTCTGGGCTTTCCAGTGCTTTCACTGCAGGTGGTCCAGTAGTGTGGCTCACTGCCAGGTGCAGCCCAGTATGTGAGGATGCAGGCAAAACCAGCTGCCTTGACTTGACCATTCCCCATCTAAAATAACCCTCTCACTTCATCAGGGTTGCTGGCTACTGGTGGGAGATGTATCTGACCGCAGGCCTTTGCTGTTTGTGTCCAGGTGGCAGGGCCAAGGCTAGCGCTGACGCAGGCGGGGATAGGCCTGAGGCTGAGGAGAACAAGGAGGGATTCCTTTCCAAACTTAAGAAAATGTTTAGCTCCTGACACCCCATCTGAGGTAGGAGGCCTCTTGTGTTTTATTGTTGTCTTTCCCCCAGAGCACTAAGCAGAATTTGCACTTCTTGGGAGGTAGAAGCAGCAAAAGCACAGCATTGCTTCTCACTTAGCCTCAGGCCTTCCAGCCACTGGTGTGAAAAGCCCTAGCTGTCCCCTGTGACCTGGAGCAAAAAGCCAGGGACTAAATTGCATTGTTGCTGCAGCAAAAATGCTGGGTACATCTTCAGGAAGGTTGCTAGCCTCCCCTGCAGCTCTGCTTCCTTGTCCATTCAGTGACTGTACCCAATTCAAAGCACTGAGGGTGTTCCCGTTAGCTGGTAAAGCTGGGACCAGGCAGTTCTGCTGCCACCGCAAAGCGTGGGCTTGCCGGGAAGCACATGTGGGGCTGCAGAGCCTCTGGTGCTGGTACGCTCAGGTTGGACTGGCTCTTACCACAGGCTTACAGCTCCAGGAAGGGATCAGTCTTTGTCATAAAGTGCAGCAAAGTCCATGTCACGCAAATGAGCGCAGTGTTGTAACTCAGGGTGCTATTTAGTTGGTGTTGGCCTGCTGTGAGGGAGCGCTGCAGACTTGAAATCATCTACAGCAGACACTGGTGTCTTGGATTCCAGGGGCTCAGCGTCTTGTCACTGCAGGCTTCAAACTTGTCTGTTCTGCATGGCTGACAAAGCATGACGGCAGGTCAGATGGGGAGGTGCCCTTGCAAAGCAGGCTGCAAGGGCTGCTGCGTGCCTTGGGTGGATTTGGTCAGGAGATGTTAAACTTCTCTCTTGCTTTGATTGCAGGGAAGCGTTCTACTGGAAGCTAAGAGCCAGTGGCAGATTTTCTTTGCAGTCGGGAATGAATCTTTCTGGCAGCGGGCTCCGGAGAGCGAAGGATGTCAGTCAGCAGCATGGTGAGAATCCCAGCTGGAGAGGCTACAAACCACTGAGGCACCAACAATCACGATACAAACCCCACCCACTGTCCTAGGAAATGGTAATGAAGGAAAATGCCAGCTTTGCAGAAATGCGGCTCGCTCTCAAGGTTGCTCCACAGTCCCTACTGCTGCTGGAAGCTTATTTGGGAAAAATTAAAGTTGAAATATTATTTAGAATCTGCAGCAGTGGAAATGTGAAATAAAAATTGTCCTTCCAGCGCAGAGTGGAGCAGTTTGCTGTATGGAGTCCAAGATGGCTGCTGCTCACTCAGGTGCCCTTCTGTATGCTAGATGTGCTTTCTCCCAGGAGACTTGGTGGGTCAGTGAGTTTTAACCCTGTCTTCATGACAGCCCTCCTAGCTGTCCTGCACATCTCTCAGAGTGGGAAGTCTCCCTGTGGCTGGGACTCGTCAGAGCCCAGCTGCTCTGGCTCCCTCAGCAGCTGTGGGGTTTCTTAGTCCTGCTGATTTCCTGCACAAAGAGCAGTGATGGAATCTGCACTTTGCCTCAGGTTTCCCTTCCCCCCCAAATTAACTGAAGTTAGAACACAAATGCTGTTGCTTCTGAATGGGTACAAGTCTATCACCAAGCTCTTTGCCAGTTTGGGACAAAAAATCTTTTATTACATTAGCACAACACCCATAGCATAAATGATTGGTCATAGAGTCATTGTTCCTACATGTGTGAGAATACAAGTAAAGTGGATCACTCCTTCCAGGTGGAGTTGAGCTCTTGCTGTGAGTATTTTCATGGTTACTGCAGCCTGCTGTTGTTAGTTAAACTGTGCAGGTACCATTAGGCCACATACTAATCGATCTGTTAAACAAGGACATGTCGTAGTCTTGCCCTTCTTAATTTGCTGAATTAAAGCACGTGTTGCCTCCTGATTAAACTGCCTGTAAAGTGATTCTGTATCCATGTAAATAAGATTGACCTCATAAAGATATTTAACACGTGCTGTGCCTTGCTGCCTTGTCTACTCTTCCAGTGTTGTCTATCACCCCCTTTCCCTCCCCCAGGAACAGGAACAAAGGTCTTCTCTCAGACAAGGAGAGGATAGGGCTGGATGTCTTGAGCGTCTCTCTGGTGGCTGTGACTGACTTTAAGCACAGGCAAAGCTTGCCAAATCCAGAGCTCTTATCTGAGCAGTACCTTAAGCATATGGTAGTGTGGGGGGAGGAGCTTTATGAGTCTTAAATCCCAAGGTTGGACAGTCTTGCAAAGGTTTTATTCAACTCATGGGGGCAGCGATTGAAGTTACCTCTAGGAGCCCAAAGGCTAGGCCACAGCTGAGAGCTGTCTGACTTGAGGAGTTAGGCTCAGCTTTCATGTTACACAGCGCAGGAAGTCACTGCACAGTCCCCTTTTGGCAGGGTGGTGCCAACACAAGCACTCTGTCTCTCCAGGCATGCTGCTCTGCCTGCTGGCTCACCTGCGGTGCCTGAAGCTGGTCCATGGAGAAACCCATGTTTTCTGTTTGCTTAGGAGCCTGCAGCAGTGCCTGCTGTGGGCCTGCCTGGGTACCTGCAGTAAAGGCACTGCCCTTCAGGGCCCAGAGGGACTACGCATTCAGCTCACCCAAGTGGTGCTGTATGCTCAGAGCTCCCTAGGAAAGAGGGTGATCCTGGGAAAACAAGCCACCACCACCACCCTACAGCTGTGAAAACACCCAGAATCACTGAACAAACACCTCCCTGAAGACAGCGTGCAAAGGTAGTGCTTCTCCTGCCTGCCTGCAGCTGTACAGCCTTTCCTCTTGTTCTAGTTGCACTTGTCTAAATAGCCTCAACCAAGTTGCAGGAGAGCCCTGGAGCGCATGCATGGACCAAAGCTCTTTGGGTCAGCCTTTCACCAGGGCGCTAGTGGAGAGGGAGTGTGGCTCCGTGCAGCTCACCTCTTCGCCAGTTCCCACTACCTGCTGCAGAAGCTTGGGTGGAAGAGGAGGGAGGGAAGGGTCAGAAGGCAGCCTTATTGTCTGCCACCCACTGATGGAAGGTGCGGGCCTTGGGGTTGAGTTTCATGGTCAGGTCAACGTTGCGGTCTGGCTTAAGGGCATAGAAACGGAACATAGCGGCCAATTCCTTGTCCCCAGGGGAGCCACGTTTCTCATACTCCTCTGGTGAGATCTGCAAAAAGAATTGGGGGAAAAAAACCACTGTTGTCACAGAGCAGAAGCTGCTGGGGCATTTCCCTTAGACCATGCACGGAAACTGAGGAGCGCTCTGCATTACAGCAGCCTGCCACGTTACTTCCACTGGTGAAGAAGGCTCTGCAAGTCATTTCGGTTGGGGTTGTGTAAAGGAAGCAGCAGCCCTGCCCTGTGAGGGCAAGGTGGAGGAATGCCTCTGACAGAGCATGCTGGTGGGAGATGAGATAAAGCAGGCCAGTCTCACAGTCACTGTTGACCTAGGAGTGCCTCCCCAGTCCACCCTTCTCCAGGTGCAGCGTGAGAAGGAGACAAGGTGGTGGTGGGGAAATCACACCGCACAGATGCTGAGAAGCTTGTTCTGGATCTGTCCTGAGCCAGCTGCCCCCCAGAGCTGCAGCCACCAGCAGGGCAGCGCCGCTGAGCACCCTGTAGCCCTGCCTGGCAGGGAACAGCCCAACCTGCCTAGGGCCTGCACCCGGCTCTGGCACACAGCTGGCCTGAGTGTGGGCTCAGGCATGCAACCTGCTCTCCCCAGCAGCCAGAGGCCTGGAGCAGTTACGAGGGAGCCCTTCCCTGCACTGGGGCACAAGCTGTGGCTGAGGGGTTCTAGAAACACAGGCTTGGGGGATCCGGGAGAGCTCTGGAGAGCCTGAGCAACCCTGGCTGCGCCTGGTACCCCAGCACCCACCCTTCCTGCCTGAATCAAAGTGCGGACCGCTGTACTTCTGCACTGTGCTGGGGCCCTGGGAAGAAAAGAGCTTATTTGTCCCTGGGGGAGTAGAACCTGCAGAAAGCATCAGAGGTGCTTTGCTTCTGCTGAAATGTGCTGTTCTCAAAGCAAAGAGCCACTGCAACCCTCATCCATTGTATCGGCCGCCTGAGGAGAGCAGCACAGCCAAAGCACAAAATAAAAAGAAGTCCTGGGGCCCAGACAGGCCAGGAGCACTGTAACAGTGATATGGCAAGGCCCTTGGGCAAGACATGCTGAAGGGAGGGGCATGCAGCAGAGACCTGTTCCGTAGATGCCCAGCCCTACTAGCAGTTATCCCTCAGAGCCAGACATGGACCTGCCCCGGCACACCTGCACAGCTCCATGAGCATAAGTTGTCTCAGTGACAACACCGACAAGGCAGTTTCGGTACCAACACATGCTCCAGCCACATGCAGGGGCAGCGCAACTCATCCTGGATACCAAATCTGTACACCAAGCTATGAGGGCCCTCCACCCCAGCAGCTCCTGACCTTGCTGCTGGGGCAGGGCAGCACTCATTCTGCTACTGCCGTCTGTGCTTAGCCCCTGTACAGGACCCCCCTGCTATTCCACACCAACGGGAGAGGCCAGGCGTGCTGCTCCTCTGCTGCTGCCAGGCAAGGGTGCCCACCTGCAGCCAGCAACAGCCCAGCCTGGGCAGGGACCTGCGGAGCACCCAGCTGTTGGGAAGGCACAAGGACCATCTCCCCACCACCTCAGGCAGGCTGCAGGGCCCTGAGCCAGCTTCCCCCCACCTCAAGAACATCACAGACACCAAGGGACACTTCCTACCTTGCTGGCTTCCACGGTCTTGCCCGTCTGCTGGGAGAGGATAGCGGCATACTCTGCCTCAGTGAGCTTGCCAGTGCTGAGCCCGATCATTTGGCCGATGTACTCCTCCGGGGACTTCAGCAGGCAAAGCACAACAGGCCCAACGTCTTCCACCGCCATCCCATCCATGGGGGTGTCCCCCATGGGCAGCGCTGTATGGGAGAGATTGATCCCAGCCAGAGTGCAGCCCTGCCTGAGGGAGCCCAGCTCTGAGGAGGTACAGCTGGAGTTTTCGGCACCCAGCCTCTGAACACGAGGTCAGGAAGAGCCAAGAGCACCCATCAGTGTGGCAAGCCACGAGACCACCTGCCAGGCTGAGCTAAGAGACCGTGAGCAGCCAGAGCAGCACCATGACTCGCCTGGATCTGCAGCCCTACCTCTGACTTCTGACATCCCAACTGCAGGGAGTTGGGGTGTCCAGAGACACTCTGGTATCTGCAAAGCAGCCCTCAGCACCAGAAATAGGACCGGGATCTCACTTATTTCTTACAGGCCACCAAACAGGTCTGAAGGACTATAATGAAGCTGCAACTTGTTGTGGTCAACCTGGCACAGGCCTCTTTTCCCCATCAGTCTGCAGCCCTGGTGGTTCTTCCACCCCTCGGTGAGCCTCTGCACAGTGGGAGCAGATGAGAACTACAGGACAGTGACCTGGAGAGCGAGAGGTCCCATCTTACCCAGGACAAAGGTATCTCCCTGTGGGACCTTCTGTGGCTTGAAGATGGAGAGGAAGTTCTCGAAGTAGAATGGCAGTCGGATGGTTGTGGTGGGAACACCAAGTTTCTGGAAGTACTCCTCCACCATGCCTTTGCCATCAAAGTGCAGCACCTCCAGCCGGCCCCCCGTCAGCTGCTTCACGTTCTCCAGGCCACTGTACACCGCGTGTTGCAGACCGAGGCGCTTCGACAGGTCAGCAAGCCGCTTTCCCTGGGTGAAGGGTAAAGCCAGCCATGAAGAGGGGAATGGGACACATCAGGGATCTCATCATCCCCACTCACCCTTCCCCTTTGTTGCCCTGGGCAGGAGGGCAGGATCCAACACATGCCAGCTGAGCAAGCTACTCAAGCATTTGGCACACCAAGCCCTCAGCTGGAACCAGGGCTGAGCAGACCCAGCAAGCCCTGTGAACTGCCCAGGTGGAGCCGAGTCCTCTGCTTACACCATCCAACATTAGAAAATCCACACATCCTCCAGCTTTGGTTCTAGCTCCTCCACCAAGCACGCAAACACTAGCCCTAAAGATCTGCCAGGGCCAACGTACTTGCCCTAACATATCTTATCTTTTGTTCGCTGCCATCCAGGCGTGGCAATCGTGCCACCTTGCGAAGTCTGTCCTGGGATTTCTGATACCACAGCACATTTTGGCCCCAAAGCTGCAAGTGCAGAGAACTACAGGACTGCAGGCAGCGACAGTCCTGGCTCAGCCCCTGGAAGGCTCTGCAGAGCAGAGTCTTCCCACTCCTCCTACTCTGACTCCCGGGCAGTGCTCTCTGCCACACCAAGTCTCATGGCATTTAACCACTCCCTGAAGGCACCAGATCCAAGAGCCATGCAACTATGAGGGAACAGGGAACAAGTTATGGCTTTGCAAGAACTGGGACCTGGTTTCTTTGTGAGACTTTGGGACTTTTCTGAACTGGCCACTTGAACTGTCAGGGCTGGCAAGGCTGCACTAAGAGCTGTCCCATGACCCCCACCCCAATGCCACACAGCTGTCCCTCAACCCCCCCCCCAGGCCATTCCACATGTGGTCCCAGTTAAAGCAAGCATTGGTACCTGTGCAATTTCTTTCTCTTTGCTGCAGTGCTCCCAGAAGTTGGTTACAACAAAAGCTCCGTAAGCACCCGCCAAGGCCAGCTCCAGTGATGGCTCATCGTCCTGATCTGCCTTCACGACTTCAGCTCCCCTCTGCTTCAGCTCCTTGGCCGCCTTCTTCATGGGGCTCCGCGTCACCACGCGGACCTTGAAGGTCCCATCTTCTAGCAGAGCCCGGGCCACAGAGCCCCCCTGAGCCCCTGAAGGTACAGACCTGTTCAGAGCCCCAGCTTCCCACAGGGCTCTGCTCATAAAGGGAGCTGGGACTGTGAGACAGAGCTGCCTGACCCCATGCTCTCCCTGTGACACAAGGACCAAGTCCCTCCAACCCATCCTCCTGCCAGCCCCACCGCCCCCCTGGGCTGCTGCTCCAGCCAGGCGGGTGCTTTCCAGACCCCCTGAACCTCCACGGGGCCCCAGGGCCCGGGCTTTCTGGAAGCTATCGATGTCCCTGCCTTTTGCTGCGGGGACCCGAATCACCCCACTCCGCCGCAGCGGCAGGGCAGGTCACTGTGGTAGGGCCCAGCCCTCGCCTTCCCACCGGCCCGGGCCAGAGCCCGGCAGCGCCGAGGCTCTCGGAGGTGCGGCGGCACCCCCCGGGTAGGGGCCGGGCCTTTCCCCGAGCACTCACCGGTTGCCCCGAACACCACGATCAGTTTCTTCCCGGCCATGAGGAAACGCGGGCGGTCCCGGGGCTCTGCCAGGGCGAGAAGCAGAGAAGATCGCACCGCCGTGCGGGCCCGGCGAGGCCGCGGCTCAGCCCCCGGCCCGGCCCCGCTCGGGAGGGCTTCCCCGGGCACGGGAGGGGGGTGGCGGAGCAACGGGGCGACTGCGGGGACCCATCGCCGGTCTCGGCGGGAGCCCGGGGCGGCGCGGAGCCGCCTCCCCTCACAGGAACGGGCGGCGGCGTCGCGCGTCTCCTTACCTCGGTTCGCCTCTGTTCGCTTGGAATCGGCTCGGCTCGGCTGGACCCGACTGCGTTCGGCTCGGCTCGGCTCGACCCGATTCTGTTCGGCTCCGCTCGGTTCTGCTCGGCTACGTCCGGCTGGGCGGGCCGCAGCTGTCCATCCCACTCCCCGGCCCCGCCCACCCCCGCCACAAGCACCGGACCTCGGCCGCGGCGCGCAGGGCCCAGCGCCGCAATCGCGGGAGGGTTTGCGGGTCTCCCGGGAACGTGCCCTCCGCTTGTCCTTGGTGTGAAAACCCGGCTGTTCCCAAGGAACATCCCCCCGCCCCGCTCCGGAGATGGGACGGGTCGTTATCCCCAGGCACAGGACTTGGGCCTTGGGCTGAGCTGGGGGGACGCTCCCTCATCACCCCCTTGCCAAGCGACCCCGGGCGAGGCAAAATAAGCAGAGAGGGGGCTCTGGGGCTTTTCTGAGCACCCCTGCGAGCTCCCTGTCCGCTCAGGGGCTTCGCCGGGCTGGTTCGAGGGGCCTGAGGTCAAACTCATCCTGCTGGGCAGTCGGCAGGTTGAACTTAGTAAAGATGTTCGGAAATTTGGGGCTGAATCAAGTAAAGAGCCCAGAAAATACGTGGGGGATGTGTCATACACAGTTGCAAAGAAATAATTCAGATGCATTAATTAACATAAATGAATAATTGTGAAAGCAGGAGGTACAGCCCCGACTGGGGCTTCTGCACAGTCATTTTTGATGCGAGGGATCTTTAGCTACAGCTTATCGGGAAGGTGACAGCCGATGGGACTTCCCAGATGCCATCTCCTCTTGAAACCAGCCTCCTGACAGGGTAGGAAATTACCAACAGACCTAACGCTTGGGAGACGAAAAGGTTTAACCCCTTACCAGGCGCAGCCCTAGGACCAGCAGAGAGCAAGGCTCGTGCCCGGAGCAATCCCTGGGAGATGCAGAGCCCAGCGTGATGGCTGGAGGTCCCAGCTCCTGCTTGCCCCCACCTCTCCTCCCCAAACAGTTCACCGTGCGCGTGAGCCCACCCCGATCCCCACCAGCCCTCCACTGTGAGAGCTCCATTAGCCACCATCATCTCCACCATCAGCCATCGACCACCTCTCAGCTGGACTTGGTGGAGGGAAAGATGTGTAATTACGGATTTAGATGCAGCTTCATTAAAGCTACCTGCTAGATATAAACAGACCCCACCAGGGCAGGTGTCCTAATAGGATGTGCTATTTTCATCTGTTTTCTTCACTGACTTCTCCTTGTTCTGACCTCTCCCAAACCACCCCGGCAGTGGGAGCTTTTGGCCCCCAAAATGAACCATTTGGTATAGACCAGGATGGCAGCAAACGCCACCGTGGCGAGCGATTATCCCATTATTTTGGTGAGCTGTGCTTCCCCCCCTTCCCTGGGCACTGCTGCTCTGCCTTGGGACTCAAGGGAAAGCAGAGGTACTTGCCTTGGGTCTCAGTGCTGCTGTGCCACCCTGCCCACCTGCCTTCAGGGGACCTCTCTGCTCAGCATCTCAGAATTAATAGGATTTGCCTAAATGCCAGCAAAAACATTTACCAAAGCATAGGATTTACAAATTAAGGCTTTTGTAGAACCAAAATGCAAAATAATGATCAAACCCACTTGCCTGAGTGGAGCTGGGGAGGGGAGATCCCACTGCTCCGGCTGCTGCGGTGGCTCTGGCTCCTCAGGTGTGGATGCAGCGCTCCTTGGTGCCATGTGATCCACCACTTTAGAGATAAACTCACAATTTGAGAAAACATTCAGCACTGGCAGAAAAATGTCTTTCAAGGAAGGGGAGTTTATTCCTGCCCTTTTATTCTGCTCTTTCAAGATACAACTTGAATTTACTCGTGGAAATGTTGCCATGCATGGCCCAGCACAGGGCAGAGCTGCTGCGACACCAGCCTCTTCCATGGCATCTCCCCAGCGTTCCTGGCTGGCAAGGGTGTTATGTAGCAAAATCCCTCAGCTCTCCCAGGCCAGGGCAAGCTCGTGGTTCTGCTTCGAGTGAATTCGGTGTCATTTGGATGTTGGTCAGCCTGGTTTTGTGGCTCTCCTGGGAGAAAGCAGCCGCAGCTAGGGAATTGGCCATGCACCGAGCATCCTGCCAGGACAGACCCCACTGTTGGGGCTATGGGCGGTTACTGCACACTGCTGTTTTTCAGCAGATAACTCGCATTGATTTGCATAGGCGGCAGCCCTGCGCTGACAGGAAGGAAGATTGAGCGAGACCCACAGTGCAGGAAGGGTTGAAGAGCAAACTGAGAGAGAGAAAAAGCCACCAGGCTGGAAACGGTGGCAGTGGGCGGCTGGGGAAACCAGACCGACCTTCCCCAGGTCCTGCCCGGAACATCGCCCTGGCCACTGGGTCCCATCGCCTCCGCAGGTCCCACAGGAGCAGGGCCACCAACCAGAGGGGCTTCCATTTTCTACCTTCAGCTGAGCATCCGGGCGAGGAGGAAGCAAAGCTCTGGGGATAAAGGGCTGAGCAGGGGCACGGAGGGGCTGCATCCTCCCACCATGACGAGGATGGCCTCTCTGCTCTCTTGCTCCCACGCAGACCTGAGGAAGGCGGCACGAGGCCGAGGTAAGGTTTTGGTGGGGCTGATTTTGCTTTGGAGGGGTACGGGGAGAAAGGGAGGCATCACGCAGATCTCCCACATGGGGATGAGCTGCTGCAGACCTCTCGCTGTGATGGCCATGTGAAATGAGTGGCTGGGCCAACACCTGGCAGGGCCAGGAGCTATTGGGCAGGGGTACCTGGGATGGGCAAGATGTGACTGACTGCCAGCAGCACCCAGCAGAGCAGCCTGGCATGGCATGGCCACTGGTGCTGGCAGGAGCAGTGGTGCATGGCGCTGAGCCCTGAGTGATGGAGACGAGCATGGAACCTTGTGGGGGACCTGGCACTTGTCACAAATTCTGTCCCCTTGCCTGCTACTGCCAGCCCACACGCGAAGGCAGCCGCAGCCAGGCTGCCCTGCCTTGCAAAGCTTCCCTGCCTTGTGCAGCATCAGCTTTTGCCCCCACGTTAATGTCATTTAGTGAATTCATTCCACTTCAAAACCATCCAAAGCAATCTCCAATATGTACTGCAAATAGAACCTGATAAGATTAGCGACATACTCACCTGTGGCATGGTGCAAAATTGCACCAAAGTATGAGGCAGGGTCCTGGGTCTGTCAGCTGTCCAAGACCAATGGACCTTGAAACCCAGAGCTGCACCCCCGCATCCCCCTTTGGGAAATGGGCTCAGCATGCCTTCCCGGAGCTCAGCTGGAGGGAACAGCAACACTGAGCTCTCCAAAGCTGCCACTGGTAGCTTCTTCGGCCCTTTTCACTGCAGGGGATCCCCCAGCGCTGTGTAGGACCCAGAGGGGCAGGGAGCAGGTTGAGGTGATGGAGCTCAGTGGGGACATGTGGCCCTGCCTAGTGGCTCTGAACCCAGGCGCCCATGTGGGCAGGGAGCCTGCAGCATGCTGGACTGTGTGAGTGCATTAGGCTTAATCCTGCTGTTATTTAAGCACTCTAAGGTCATTAGGGGCACTACATATCCTATAGTTATGGGACTGCTGGGGAGAGGACCAGCTGGAGCACTGGCTGGGTGCTGTCACCCACTGAGACGTCACCAGTGCCTGAGGTTTGGCTGCCATGTGGAAGGGTTATCCGAGGCCAGATATGGTCATTCAGGGCAGCCTGGGCAGAGCTCGCACAAAGGATGTCCACGTTGCAGGAAAATTTCTTTCTGGAGAACCTGTGGCCACTTTTCCTGATGCTCTGTAACCCCAGCAAGCTGGGGCTGACCCCGAGCATCAAACCCCAGCAGGATGCTGGGGTGAGGTACCACATCCATCAGCATCTCTGCATCCCCCGAGGCCAGTGGATGGGGCTAGCATTGGTGACAGAGGCAGGCTGGCAGCAGCTCATTCCCAATTTTCACACTGATGCCCTGAGATCCTGTAGGTGAGAAGAGCAGAAGCTGTTTGCAGGGAGAGGATCTGCTTTTCAATCAGCTGCGTGCATGTCCTGGGGACATGATCAGCTCAGTAAATGCATCATTCTCCATTTGCAACTTGGGAGGTGTAGCAGTACCCTGCAAGAGTTCTTCACTGAACTTAGCTTTGTTTTCATCTGTTTGGAATTACCTGTAGATTGATCTTTGCTTTTTCCTGGTGACATTTGGTGTTGGGACTGCTGGCATTCAGCCTGGAGGTCCTTCATGGCTCCTCATGTCTACATCTTGGTATTTAACTCCCACTGTGTCTGCACCATGTTATTCTGATTGGGGTTTTGGAGAGAAAAAAATCCTGGTAGGAGTTAGATTTGGCATAGGGGGTCACTCTGTAATTGCAATAAATTTTGCTAGCATTAAATCGAGACCAAAAAAAATAAGACTGCGTGTCAAAGTCATATGTAAACTCAGATAACTGATCTACCTGCAAATCTGCAAGTTTCATAATTGGGTATCATATAGAAGATACTTCATTGCTTTGCTTAGAACAGAAATCAATAATGTGAAAGCTTTGCAGTTCTGCCAAAGGGTGGCAGCCTGCATCCTGGCTTCAGGATTTGCTCAGCTGAGGTGGATGGCTGGAGATGTTGGCTTGGCAAATGTCTGTGTGCAGCTCACTGACCTCTGAAACGGGATCAGTTCAGGCTGGATATATGGCAGGAGAAATAAATAAAAGCTCCGAGAGTGTGTTGGTAAGGGAGCCTGAGATTCGCTGGAGGAAACGCAGTGCGCCAGGAAGTGGTGGGAAGGTCTCGCGGGGCTGGTTTCTCTCCGTTCCCATGTCTGGGGGAGGGAGAGCAGCGGCGAGATGGGTGCTGTGCTGCTGGGGTTCGAGCTGCACCGAGACACATCACCCCAAACTAGAGATCTCTGAGGAACCGGCTGCACTGGCAAACCCCGTGGTGATGGGACAGGAAGAAGGCAATGGCCGGGCTGAGGGTTTCTGTGTGTTTAGGGGCACAGAGCCACGCTGGAGTGGGCATTTCTCTGCTCCTTCAGGTGCCTGGTTAATGATGCAATTATTAGCTCACATAAAAAGCTTCAAACGTACCTAAATACTGCAGATCAGCCCATTTTCTGATGTTTTCCCTTTGTGGGTCCCTGTAGCCATCCAGGAGCTCTTGCCCAGCACTTTGGTGCCCATCTAGACTAGGCGCCCTTTGGCCCTGTCCCCAGCCCAGCTGGGTCCCCAGGGCTCTGCTAGCCGAAGAGCCCTGGCTGAGGTGCCAACCGGTGTCCCCTGACGCTGCCCGTGGATCTGCCCATGAGCCCTTGCGTGGCGACAACCACAAATTTCTGTCTGCTGAGCGTTGCAGCCCGAAGTGGCCACGATGCTGCTGGCGGTGGCTGCACCAGCTCCTGGGACAGGACGGTCCCAAGTCCTCAGCAGATTCCCAAAGCACAGGGTGATGGATCTGTCTGGCAGGGAATGGCTGCAATGTGAAAACCAAAACCACATCCTGACAGGAGGAAGATCTGAGAGGCTGGGTAGAGCACAGAGGCAGTAACTATCTGTTATCTCCAGCCACCTTCGTGCTGTGGCCATCCCCAGACTGTCCCTTAATCTCAGATCCCCTGGCAAGCTTCTTTTGGTCCATGTTGGACTTCCAGGAGCAAAAGTGCATGTACATAATTCAAGCCAGAGATGAGCAGAAGCACCTATGTCTAGGTCCATGTTTTCCAGTGTTGATGCCAGGCAGTTTAGGTCTTGGAGTAGGACACGCAGTGATGAAAAATGCAGTCGCTGTTTGGTAGAGGCTGTCTGTGCGGGTGGTCAGGGACCTTCCAGCACGGTTGTTGTTGCTCCCAGGCACTGATGGGTTTTGGGTACAGACCCTCTGCTAACAGGCGTGGTGGGACGTGGGGATGGTGGGACGTGGGGATGGTGGACATCAGACTGAAGCTGCTAAGAAGGACACATCAGTGTTGACTGGACATCCTCAGATGGGAGGATTTTCACCTGGGCTGGGCTCTTGGACCACACCAGCCAAAAAAAAGGTAAATGCCAAGTTCTTGCCACAAAATCCCCCATTTCCCTCCCTGGCGCTTGCAGACAGCATTCGTCAGTTCGTCTGGGCAGCCTCCTGCCCTCCAGCTTCTTATCCCAGTGCCCCCAGGGACGTGGGCAGCAAGGCAGGGCAGATACAAACCATCGCTGGATCACTGCTTCTCCGGCTGCCGGTGGGGCAGGGACGAGCACTCGTCCCTGTTTGATCCCAGCCAAGTGATAGCTGCAAATCCAGGGCTGAGCTCCATGCATGCAGGATGGACGTGGATGCCGCTTTCCAGTCTCAGGCACAGGGGAGTACGGCACTTCCAGAAGACGACTCATCCCAGCAGCCTTGGGATGTGATGGGTCGCATCCTGGAAACACCTTGGATCTCTGTAGGGGTTATAGAGATTGGCTTGGAGTAGCCTCTACCCTTCAGACTACTGTAAGAGTAGATAACGCCCTTCACCCTCCTAGGATGCAGGCTTCAGCATCACTGGCTGGTCCTAGAGCTGCACCTGAAACTTTTCTACTGCAAGCAGAAAAACTTGCAGCTGCTGCATTATTTCTTCTCCTGCTTTATGTCTTCAGCTGCTTTATTCTCCCAGTCAGATACTTTCACACAAGCTGACCCAGGGCTGCTGGTTTCCAGCATTGGGATCACATTTTGAAGTAGTACTGGAGGACACCATCAAATAATCTCTGGTGTTAGAGCAGGCTTCCCCCCATCAAAGGGCTTTTTCTCACCAGCCGCGTTTCAGAGGAAAGCCTGCAGGAAACATCGCTGCAAGCAGCAAACCCCCTTTCATTTTGGCTGTGTTCTTGGTCACACGGCAAAGATGAGACACCTGGGGACTGCTTCATGCAAAGACTTAATTGAACTTTCCAGGCCACTTAGAGACAAGAACACATCAAAGGGTGAAAATTTTGCTGTGAATGGCTCAGCCAGCTCCTGTAATTGACATTATCTTAACTGACTAAGCCACTGCCTGGGGGATGAAGAGCCTGGCAAGCTGCTGCCGCAGCCCTGCTGCTCCCTGTATGGAGAAAAGGGCTTTGCTGTGAGGCCACCATCATTGCCAGGCGGAGCGTGGACCTCTGCCACCTCTGAAACCAGGGGGTCAGAGCTGGGCAGCCAAGAAAGAGCTGAGAGACTCCACGTTTCCTTCCTGGAGGGAAAGGTTGTGGGTTCAGACCCAGCAACAACAGCAGCCCCCAGCCCTATGAGGGCTTGTCAAAGCCACATGTGAAACCATCTGGGCAGGTGGGGATGGGCTTTGTCACCCAGCGCCTCTCAGACACTTGGCATCCTTCGTAGGACATGCCACAAAGGGGTCTCAATGACAGATCTAGCCAGTGGGGTCTGTGAGGGACTCAACCCTGGGAGATGCTGCGTCTAGTCCTTCCTCCTGCAGCCTGGCTGCCATCCGCACAGCTGGGCTGCTGCTGGTGGCTGAGCCCTTGCATCTTCTGGTGGGTGAAATAAACCTCAGCATGGATCTCCTAGCAGGAGGATGAACAGAGGAGCCTGCAAAAGAGATGTTCCAAGCATCTTAACCTTGCACCATGGACCAGAAACTCTACCAAGTTTCCCTGGTCAAGCCACATTTGTGCTTTCTCCCTGGAAGAGGTTGGGTTTGACCAAAGAAAGTGAGTGTTACCTGTACCTGTTGGTGAGGCTGCATTGAAGCCCCCATGGTGCCCACGTCCTACTCAGGAGTCGGTTTGGGCAAAGGCAACACTACCTGTGGGCAGCGACCTCCTTGCAGTGCCTCTGACAGGTACATCTCGGGGTGATCGCATGGATCTAGAGCATCCTGTAGGCCAGGTGGAGGTGAGGAAATGGTGCTGTGCCAGGACACAGACCAGGGCACTGGGACACTGTGTTCACATTGTTGCCATGATCAGACAGCGCCTGGGGCTGAGACGTTCCCACTTGGACACGGCCAGCTCCTGGAAATGACTTTGGGGCTGGTGGAGAGGCCATCTGCTAACATAGGTGAAGCTGGGAGCACTCTCAGGCATGGAGGTATTTCCCTCTCCACCTCTGCTCAAAAAACAATTGGACTCAGTGAGTGGATACACTTCTTAAAAATAAAACATCAAACCCTCAGCATGGTTTGGCAGCAGCCAAGGGGGAGGGAGCAGGTAGATGCTCCTTCTCCAGGCAATGATTCACCGGTGCTGTGAAAAGTGGAGCGACTACAGAGCTCTGCAACAGGATGTGGTGTTGGCCACGCTCAGCAAGCCCTGACGGAAGCTCTGGACGGAGGCGAGATGGGTTCGAAACTGAAACGGGCCCTTCATTGCTCTGCCTGCTGCCCCACAACTTCCTACACAACACAGAGAAAGACAACGCAGGAGGGGTTCACAGCCCCTCTGGTGACAGTGGTGGCACTCAGGCGCTCACTGGGTGACCTGTGGATGGCACAGGGGCATCATCAAGGCAATTAATGCAATTGTTCTGCTAGAGAAAGGCTCCAGCATGAGTGGTGGTGGTGAAGGTACCAAGTTTGTGGCACATGAGGTCTGGGGCAAAGATGCTGCAGCGTGATGGTCCCGGCTCTGCCCCTGCCAGGTCCACAGCACCAGGGACTCTGGTCTTAGTCAAAAACTGATGAATGGGCCCTTGGCTCAACCACAGTCAGTACCACGTTAACTCAAGGTGTGCTCCGTCCCATGTTGCTCCCGATGCTTTTCCTCTTCTTCCACCAGGAACATGGATAAAGGCTGAGGAGCCTCGACTGGTGCTGTGAGCAGGCTGGGGGGACGTGGGGCGGTCCATGGGACAGCTGTGCTGCTGCCAACACAGCACTCCTCACCCAGGGATCACCCATGTCACGGGAAGCCTCTGATGGAAGGTGAGTGGTGGCTGGGCAGCTGGACATCCATCATCTCAGTGGAGTTTTGGATTCAAAAAATGGGACAAGGTCACGCACCAAGGTGTGAGGGTTAACAGCAGTTCCTAGTCCAAGGGCTTGGGGACTGCTGTGCTGGCACAGGGGGAACGGCTGTCTCCGAAGATAAATAATCTTGCTCAGACTTTTATCTCTGCATGGGCTTGGTTTCCAGGAGGAAATGTGATTTCATGATTGCATTCTTCAGTTTATTTGACTCCAGTTTCAATAGCTGCTGCCTTGACCAAGCAGCTCCTCACAAAACAGCCTGCCACAGCTTTGGGATGGCATCATCTCAAGGAGGACTTTGGCAGGTTGCTCTGGAGGGCTCTAGTTTACCCCCTGCTACCTTCAGAGTCAGATGAGTTGCTCCACTGCTGCCTTTCCCATCACCCCTGAGGAACATGCCCAGGGCTTGTTCAAGACCTAACTCTCCTGCTCTCCTCTCCCACAGAGGCTTGGATCAACCGCTACCGCAAGCAGCTGTTGAGGTCCATCTCACCGCAGTTCCTGGAGGAGATCATCTGCTACCTGCGGAGGCTGGACCTCCTCACGGCGGAGGAGGCCAGCCGGGCGCAGGAGGCGAGCTCCCTGCCCGAGAAGGTGAGGGCAGTGGTGGATGTCCTGGCTGGCAAGGGCAGCTACGCCTCCCAGTCCCTGCAGACCTTCATCGAGACCACCAATTCCCAGCTCTACCTTCACATCACTGTCTATGGTAGGCAGTCCACTTTGGACCCAATGAGGGGGTGTCTGCACACATGTCCTGGCTGTGGGCGCTTGCTGGAGCACCCCAAGATGCGCACAGAGCTGGGCAGCGTTGGCAGCTCCGATGGGAGTGTCTGTGCAAGTGACGATGCTATCTCAGGGTCTCCGCTGGGGAAGGACACAGCCAGGGGATGACAAGGGTTCTCTGCCAGGTTTGAGGTACCTTCATCCAGGCCCCTTGCTGCCCTCAGCACACTTCTCTGGGTAGCCTGAGGAACCTTTAATGTCCTCAGTGTCCTGATCACACCAGTCACTCCCAGCAGCTGGGCTGGGAACAGGGGGACAGCAGGAGGAGGATGGCTGGGAATTCCTGACCCCATCCATTGATGGCTGCCCCAACTTCAGGCTCTCCTTGCAACCCTTTTCCCAGGAGAGGTTTCCCAGGTTTCCCTCCTGGTTGGAAGGCTCCAACCTTGGTTGGTGTCTGCTCTGAATCTCTCACAGCACCATCCCCTGCTTGTCCAGCCTTTGCTGGAGGCTTTAAATACGCTATACCAGGGGTCGTGGTACCTGAGCCAGGTGAGCAGGAAAGGTCCAGAGATGGTGATCAGGTTCAGCTACGAGTCCAACTCATTAGACAAGTCCATGGTTATGAGACAAGGCTGAGGTCAAGCCAGGAAGTCAATCCAGAGGTCAGGATCAGGTCCAGTGAGGGCAACCAAGTTCAGACACAGTCCAGTGGTCACCAGGCAAGTGTAGAACGATGAGGTCCAAGATCAAGGTCCAGATCAATAAGGTCCATAGCAGGCACAGGCACGATGGTGTTGTAGGCAAGTACTCCTACAACATAGCTTAGGCAGGGGCTGAAGGCCCAGGGCTGAGCTTAAATGGGCTCCTGGACTGATGGGTGAGGCTGGGCAGGATCATTTAAGCCTATTAGTGCCCTCCAGGCCCTGGCACATCCCCTCTGCATGGGCACAACAGAAAAGTGAAGCAGCATCTCTCATTTGCATTTGTGGTTACCATCCTCCTCCTCATGCCCTCATTTCATTTCTCGCTGTGCAGAACCCATGGTGCAGAAGCACCTGGAGAGCCTCCAAAGCTACTATGGGAATGGCTTGGAGACGGGTCCCCTCCAGCGACTCACGAACCTGCTGCTGGTGGAAGGCTTGACTGATATCCAGCAGAAGGAGCATGACATCCTGCAGATTGAAGCCACCAAAGGCTTACGAAATGTATCCAAGAGCATCCCTCTGGAGAAGCTCTTCCTGCCTCTCTCCAAGGTCAGCATCCCACCTCGGATCTCTGTCACCATCGGAGTGGCTGGGATTGGCAAAAGCACACTGGTGAAGCTGTTTGTCTACACCTGGGCAAAGGGGGAGATCAACAGGGACATCATCTTTGTGCTGCCCCTCACCTTCCGGGAGCTCAACACCTACGAGAAGCTCTCTGCTGAGAGGCTCATCTGCTCAGCATTCCCTCACATCACTGAGCCAAACTGCATCTCGGCAGGAGCCGCCAGGACCCTGCTGATCCTCGATGGCTTGGATGAGTTCAAGACTCCTTTGGATTTTTCCAACACGGTAGTATGCACCGATCCCAAAAAGGAGATCCAAGTGGACAACCTGATCACCAACATCATACGTGGCAACCTGCTGCAGGAGGCTTCTGTCTGGGTCACGTCACGGCCAACAGCAGCCAGCCAAATCCCCGGTGGGCTTGTTGACCGGATGACGGAAATACGAGGTTTTGGAGCTGCAGAGATGCAGGACTTCTTGGACCAGATGTTCCTTGACAACAGAGACCTATCTGGCCGAGTCCTGCATCACATCAGGGCTAACAGGCCGTTACACGTCATGTGCACTGTTCCTGGCTTTTGCTGGATTTCTGGCTCCTCAATCGGTTATTACCTTAAAAATAGCACTGATCAATTCCAAGAAACAACTGTTGTCCCCAAGACCCTATCAGAAATATACTCCTATTATTTTAAAATGGCTCTGAGCAGTGACTGGCCAGAAAAGCCAAAAGAAACACTCAGGATTGAGCAGGCTATGAACAACAGCAAGAAGATGGTGGGCAGCCTGGGCAGACTGGCCTTCTATGGGCTGCTCAAAAAGAAATATGTGTTTTATGAGCAGGACATGAAGGCGTATGGCATTGACCTTTCCTTGCTGCAGAGCAGCTTGTGCAGTCGCCTCCTACTCAAAGAAGAGATGCAGTCCTTCACAGCCTACTACTTCTCCCACTTAACCATACAGGAGTTCCTAGCGGCTATTTATTATTACACGGCTGCAAAGCGGGCAATATTTGACCTCTTCACGGAGAGCGGGATGTCCTGGCCCAAGTTGGGTTTCCTCAACCACTTCAAGAGTGCTGTTCAGAGGTCGCTGCAGGCAGAGGACAGGCATCTGGACATCTTTGTGCGTTTTCTGTCTGGGCTCCTCTCCCCGCAGGTGAACAAGCTGCTCTCTGGATGGCTGCTGGTGAAGGACGAGCACAACAGCTTCAGGAGCCAAGCGATCAACTTCCTCCAGGGCTGCCTGAACACCGACTACATCATCTCCTCACGGACGGTGAATACCATGCACTGCCTGTATGAAATTCAGCACATGGAGATTGCTAAGACTGTGGAAGAAGCAATGAAGAACGAGAGCTTGGCCGGGATGCTCACCCCTGTGAACTGCTCTGCCCTGGCTTATCTCCTGCAGGTCTCTGATGTCTGTGTGGAGGAGACGAACCTCTCCAACTGCCTCACCTACAACATCTGTAAGAGCCTGCTCTCCCAGCTCCTCTTCTGCCACAACCTCAGGTGAGTCCTGGTCAGATTGCACCAGGAGAAGCAAGCAGGGACACCGGGCTGTGACTCAAAATCCTGGGTGTCGATGGGAGACATGGGCCCACCAACATTGTCCATCAGCAGGGAGCTGCCCTGGGAATGGCACTGGGTCTGCTCTGCTTCTGTGCTTGAGTTTTTCCACCTGTGATGGGCAGATGACACAGGAGAGTAGTCCTTTCTCCACTTTGTTCTCCAAATGCTTGCTTTTGCTCTTTCCTTGTATCTTCTCCAGGCTGGACAATAATCAGTTTAAGGACAATGTGATGGAGCTGCTGGGCAGTGTGCTGAGTGTGAAGGACTGCCAGATCCAGAAGCTCAGGTAGGACCTGGCCCAGGGCAGACAGGCTGTTCCTGGGGATGCAGCACGGAGCTGGGGGCACCTCAAAACCAGGGTGAGGGTCCTCCAGGAACATCTCTCTCACTGGCTCCCCAGGGTGCCTGGTGACAAGGACAGCCTTATGTGATCTCTTGCACCCAGGCACAGTGACCTTACCCACCGTGTCCTTGCGGTGGCTGGGCAGGCTGTCTCACCCAGTCTTCCTGGGACCGCTACCTCCTCGCTGTTCCTAAAAATTTGTGTAGAAATCCATGGGTTATCCCAACAAACTGCTTCCCAAAGTCATGGCTATTTGCTGGACACCCAAGGTACTGCATGGAGCATCTGACATATGGAGGGGACAGGCTCCCAACCCCCACGCAGGGAGATGCCTCACCGCAGACATATGGGTCCCCACTTTTGCCACCCCCCTGCCCTTCTTTGTGGCTGCACATAGAGTCCCCCATGTTGTGATCTGAGCTCCCTTTTCATGAAAGAAATGAATTTTAAGTCTAGAAACTTCCCTTCTACCCTGTCCTTGCAATCCCCTGCCTGGTGTCCACCCCAGGAGAGCAAACCTTGGAGCATCCACCACTTTGCATGGTTGTACCACAAACCAAATGCTCCTCATGGCTTTCCTCTGCTCACCCATCCCAGCTTTGTCCTGGGACATGCCAGGGGCTGCAAAAACCTCTTTCTCCCCCTGAAAAACACCCAATGTTTCTTTTTCTGGGCAGCTTGGCAGAAAATCAGATCAGCAATAAGGGAACCAAGGCGCTGGCCAGGTCGCTGATGGTGAACAGGAGCCTGACGGTGCTGGAGTAAGTGTTCCCCCTTTACTAGCTCCTGCCACGCATGCATTCCCCACTGGGAACCATTACCATGGCTGCAGCAGGGCTGGATCCCACCTCACCTGACCGAGCTGGGGAAGATCTCCAGCCCCCAAAGCCACCACCGCTCAAGAGGTGTGAGCTGCTGGCCTGATGTCCCACAGCAGTGCCTGGGATGGTTCCACCTGGAGGCATTTGGCTTAAAGTGGGCACATCCCGCTCTGGTTTTGCTAACCTTGGCTTTTCTGCCTGTCTTGCCCCAGCCTGCGAAGCAACTCCATCGGCCCCACTGGAGCAAAAGCACTGGCTGATGCGCTGAAAAAAAATCAAGTCCTGCTCTCCCTGAAGTAAGTCTCAACTTCTGCAGCACCTCTGAGAGCAGATCCCCAGGACAAGCCCCCCCAGCCCTCTCCCGTCCCATTGAGGTTTTCCCTGCCTCAAGGGCCAGCAGGCGGGGAGACCCTGGGCACAACCTGGTTTGGTTGAGCCGGGCAGCAAGCATGAGTGCAGCTGGCAGAGACCAGGTGACTGGGGCAGCCCTGGGCCGGAGATGTTGGGACCCTCCTGCCTCTCAGCTTCAGTGGGTCCAGTTGAAGTTGAGGTCGAGGTCCATCCCTTGCATGGGAGCTCACAGGCTGCTAGTGCACAGGAGGAGGCATCTCCCATGGGAGAGGAGGGAGGGAGACCCCCAGGTAGGGATGCTCAGGGGTCAGACATGCTTCTCACGCCAGGGATGGGGGAAGCAAATGCCAGGGCAGGCAACCACCACCCTGCATGGCGCCTCGCCCCGCTACAGGGGCTGCCACGCACGCCTTCGCTTCTCTCTCCTTGCAGCCTGCAGCACAACACCATCAAGGAGGATGGTGCCACTTCCCTGGCCGAGGCCCTGTTGACCAACCACAGGCTGACAACCCTGCAGTGAGTGACCGGGACCTGCTGTCCCCCCCTCCCAGCCACCCAGCAGACCGAGGTGCCACCGATGGGGACGTGGCACCTGACATTCATGGGTACCTTCCTCACCTTTGCAGCCTGCAGAAAAATGCCATCGGAGCCCGCGGTGCCAGGAAAATAGCGGAGGCACTGAAACAGAACTGCAGCCTGAAGGAGCTGACGTAAGAGCAGCATGAGGTGGAGGGATGGCGACGCCAGTGCCACATCTCCCAGGATCTGCGGGCAGGATTGGTGGGCAGGGGGCTTGGCCATGCGACGCAGGTGGGATAGACTCTGCTAGCTTTGGCCAAGGGGGTTGGCGTGGGTGGAGGGGGACAAGGACCACAGCGCTGCTTTCGGAGCGACCCTGCAGAGATGCTCTTCATATCTCCGGGAATGCAGGGAGCCACATAAAGAACTGAGAGCCCAAGTCTTCCCTCCAGCAGAGGCAAGTGGCAGGTCTCCAGGCCCTGTGGATACATTAAAAGCTAGTTCAGGTCAAAACCAACACACGAGGACAGAAGTGTATGTAGGTTGGAAGTAAGACCACAGCAAGTTCATGCTTATTGCTGAAGCAGAAAGAGCCTGGGGGAGATAGATCTTTTGCCGGCAGATCTAAGCCAGTTGCAACATGGCCGCGGGTAACACCTGCTCTTCCTCTTGTGTCTTAGACTCTCCAGCAACTCAGTAGGAGACAATGGCTCGGTTGCCTTGGCCGAAGCTCTGAAGGTGAACCACAGTCTGCAAAGCCTCGAGTAAGTCCCCCCTCTGTGCCTGGTCTCCTGCTTGCCCAACAGACCCCAGCCTCCTCACTCCAGCAACACCTCCCCCCCTACCTCGGCTGCCCCAAAGTGCCAGCAAAGCCTGTCACCTCTGCTCAGTGGGGCCAGTGCTGCCGTGGCGAGCAGGAGATGCTGATCCTGGCCTGGCTGCTCCCAAAGTTGGTCCTTTAGCCGCAGCTCCCCACTGTCTCCCATGGCTGGGAGATGCCCATTTCTCAGTAAAACAGGCAAACGGGCACTTTTCACCCCAAACATGACCACACAGCCTACCTGCAATGCCAAGACTGGCCCCATCCTCACGCCTTCCCCTCTTTGTCTCAGTCTCCAGAGCAACTCCATCAGCAGCGCTGGGGTCACTGCGCTGACAGCAGCTCTCTCCTCCAACAAGGGACTCATCAACCTCAAGTAAGTGACAATCCCTCTGGCCACCCCAGCCAAAAGCTGCTACCGGGACATGGGATGCGAGTAGTTTTCCTTGTCCCTGGTTGTTTCCACAAGTGCTCTGGGATGCTGATAGCAGCCTCTGTCCCTCCTCCAGCTGCAACCATCTTCTCTCCATGATTAGCTTTCTCCCCTTGGGACAATATCGGTTCAGCCATGTCTCACAATGAAAGGATGGCAGCAGGGATGGGAGGCTGGGAAAAAGCCCTGATGGGCCATGGGTGCCCACAGCTGTAGGATGCACAGGGAATGGAGATGCAGGTGGGGATGCAGATGCTGATGGAGATGCTGCTGCTGGTGGAGATGCAGGGAATGGAGAAGCAGATGCTGATGGGGATGCAGATGCTGATGGAGATGCAAGTCAGACAGACTGCTGTCGTAATAGATGGTCTCAGCCCCAGAGTGGGGCGGCGAGGAGGGCTGTGGTGGAGCAGCTGATGCCCTGCCTCGGACACTCCTCCCCAGCTCCATGTCTTTTCCCAGCCTGCGGGAGAACTCCATCAGTAAGGAGGGGGGCCCAGCCATCGCCCGTGCCCTGCGGACCAACAGCACCCTCAGGAAGCTGGAGTAAGTCCCACGGGCCCCAGGAGGGCACCCATGCTGCTGCACAGTGTCGCTGGAGTTGTCCCAAACTCTGCATGTGTGACTTATATTCTCTGTCCCTTGCCTCTAGCTTAGCGGCAAACCTGCTGCATGATGAAGGTGGCAAGGCCATCGCTTTAGCGATGAAAGAGAACCGGGCGCTTACGTCCCTCCAGTAAGTTCCCCCTTGGACCTGCCTTGGTTTGAAGCCCCTTGTGTGGATGCAGGGCAGGGACACTGCTCCTGGGCCTCAGCCCCGCCAGGCTGTGAGAGTGGCTTCCCTGGGTCGCCCTTCCATGGGAGGTGTGCTGTGCCATCCTGGATGGATCCATGGGCACAGGGGTCATCTCCCTGGATGGGAGCAGATGGGTGCTAAGCTTGGAGGGATTGGGGCATCCTCACAGCCTCAGGCTTCACCTCCTGTTTTCTCCGGTTTGCAGCTTGCAGTGGAACTTCATCCAGGCAAAAGCTGCCACAGCCCTGGCACAAGCACTACAGTTCAACAGCAGCCTGGCCAGCCTCGAGTAAGTGGGGACACTGGAGGACAGGTCCTGGGCGGTGTCTTCCTTCTGGGACCTGCCCATGGACTCTGCCCTCATGCTGCTCCAGGGGAGGTGGCTTTGCCTGTTGCCTCCTTCATGCGCTCCAGCCCATCCTGTGTCCCCATTGCACATCCCTGGCTGGGGATGCTGTAAGTGCATGGTGGCCCGGGACCCCCCCAAGCCGTTTGGGAAAGCCTGGCACACTGTGCCCTGTGCTCGCTGCCCCTCTCCCTGCTCCTGGGTGGCTGGGCTGTGGGCAGATGCAGCACTTGCGTGTCTTAGCTTGCAGGAGAATGCCATCGGAGATGAGGGAATGGTCGCCCTCTCCGCCGCACTGAAGGTCAATACAACACTGGCAGATCTTCAGTGAGTATCCAGGCTGTGGCGGGGCCATGGTGTTGCAGCCTGTCTAATTAGCACACCATGGCTACCTCACAACATGCACTGAAGGGTCCTTGTTCTCTTGCAGCCTGCAAGTGGCTTCAGTTGGCGTGGCTGGTGCCCAAGCCCTGGCAGAAGCCTTGATGGTCAACAAGAGCCTGCAGATCCTAGAGTAAGTGCTTGGTGGGGCCACCGAGTCCCCATGGCTGTGACAACGCTCCCTGGGGGTGTCCGAGACCCTGGTCCTTAGCTCAGCACTGCTTCCACCCTTGCATTGTGTCCTACCAGACCTGGCTTGCCTTGTCCCTTGACTTGCTGATGTGGGGCCAGCTCTCTCACCTCCTCCTCTTGCCCACGGAGAGCACAGGGCCATCCCAGGCTGTCCTTCCTCACCGCCTTGCCTTTCTTTACAGCTTGCGGGGAAACTCCATCGGTGTGGCAGGGGCCAAGGCGATGGCCAATGCGCTGAAGGTGAACCGCAGCCTCCGCCGGCTCAAGTAAGTATCCTGCTCCCTGGGGTAAGCCAGAAAGAGCCTTTCCAGACCTTCCTGGAGGGAGCAGCGTGGGGACGGCCAGGCTAGCAGCTCTCAGTAGGGCAAACTCCTGAGCTGGTGGCTTTTCCCAATGCCCACGCCCATGGTGTGCATTCCCTCCTGGTGGGCATGTCTCCCTGGCCAGTGCTTTCTGCTTTCTGACCCTCCCACCTCCTGCAGCCTGCAGGAAAACTCCCTGGGCATGGACGGAGCTATCTGCATCGCCACCGCTCTGAAGGGCAACCATGGCCTCACCTACGTGAAGTAAGTAGCCGCCGCGCTGGATGGTAAGGCAGGGATGGGGGAGACCACAGGAACCATCAAGGGACCTTCCCCCCCGCTGGCACTGCCCGTTCCTGGCTGCCCTACAGGGACCTCCCCGATGGGCCAGGGGGCAAGGGTGCCCTGTGCTTCTCCTGGCGTGACAGCCACCACACCCGCACAACTCCAGACCCCACAGCTCCTCTCTGGGGATGCCTCTGGGGCAAAGAACCACCCCAAAAGCCAAATAGTCTCCAAAATATCACAGGGACGGACTGGCTCAGCCCCTTTAGCTTTTCACCTGGCTGCCTCGGGGCTCTCAAAGCCAGAGTCCCCTTTGACCAGGGTCCCAGCAAGAGCTCCTGGATGGCATGGGGAGGGTGCAGATGATGCTGGTGCAAAGCTGGGGAGCATCTCTTCTACCCACCAAGGATCCTGCTCTGCCTCGTGTCCAAGCCTGAACTTCTCTTCTCTTTGCTCCCAGCCTGCAGGGGAACCGCATCGGCCAGTCAGGAGCCAAGATGATCTCTGACGCTATCCGGACAAACTCACCTGACTGTGTCGTGGACGTGTGAGGGTGCCTGGCCGCAGCGAGGAGGCGGCCCGGTGGGTCACTTTGGCCGGCGTGCCTCTGCAGGGAGCTGCTTGGCCCTCTGCCCGCCCGTCTTAGGGAGGAGAGCTCCTGAGCTCCCTGGCACAGCCCAGGAGGACCTAGAGCCTCCGGATCAGCAGTGCAGGAGGATCAAGACTTGCTAGTGTTGAAAGCTGAGGGGTGTATGCCCATATCCCTGTTCATCCAGGCCCTGGGGGAGCTTCAAGGAATGGGTGAAATGCAAAAAGGAGAGAGGAGGGGGAAGATCCCACATGCCAGCCCCTCTCATTTTCGTGACTTACCTGCCACCACTGGCAGCAGCGACCCCTCCTGTGATCTCCGTGGGGTTACAGCGCTGTGCTCAGACCCTGCCCCAGACTGGGGTCATTCTGACCGCCCCGGAGCTCTGCTCTTGTCCTAGCCTGAGTCGCTAGGGGCAAACATTGCAGAACCCCAGCGGGGGCTCCAGGGCTCTGCTCCCAGCGCCAGCTCTTCTCTCTCTACTTCTGGCAAGGATCCCAGGGTGAAACTCAGGCAGGATTCACAGCAGCCCCTTCTCACCTAGCAAAATACAGCCCAGTCCTGCAGGCTCCCCTTGAAATCCCAGACAGAAACAAGAGGTTTGCTGTGTCCTTGCTCAGATGGGAGCAGTGCTTTGGACCTTGGCAGTTCAGAGCAGGGTCCTAGGCAGTGAGTGCAACCTCTGCTGTTTGCCATGCCCTTCATAACAGGTTGGTGCTGGTCAAGCATGCCTGAAGTGTTTGGTAGTGCTGTTCTCTATCAGAGACAGGCATCCCAAGACATGGGAGTGGAACCATCTAGAAAGACTTTGGGAAATAAAGAGCCCTGGGGATAATGGGAGGAGGAGCGGGAGGGTGAATGTAAGAGGAACAGCACTGCACAAGGATGGGCCGTCTCCAGCATACATGTCTTGGTGATACAGTGGGACTGCCTTATCACAAAGTTCTGCCTCGAGTTCAGGCTGGACTTCTTGGGTTTCCTGCTGTTGTCATTGGTGACAAGTTGTGTGACCTTTGGATGCATCTTCCCGACATCCCAGCTGCAGGCAGAGTCCGTCCCTAGCAGTCACCTTTTGGGCAGGTGGCTGCTGAAAGCAGAGGTGCCAGGTAATGCCTTCATGTGCGTGGCAGAGACCCGGTGACTCTCCAAAAGGTGCCAGGTTTGCAGGTAGACCAGTAGCCAAACTATGCAACCGCACCAGAGCCCCCTCCAGCCACTGCCCCCTCTCCCCACTCCATCCCAGCTGGAGCCCACACCGAGACACACTGCTGCTGCACTCGGGGCAGTAAGCGACTGCTCCAGGGACCTTGGTGGGCTGATCCTGGAGAAACGCTGGGCTGAGCTGTGCGATATGTACATACTTGGAAATAAATTGGTTGCTAGCTGAGAAGATGCCTTGTGCTGTCTTCCTCTCTTGCATTACATTACATTCGGAGTGCACTGTGCTCTGCTGCCCTGGCTGCAGACCTCACCCCCCCATACTGGTGTGACAAAAGGGCTCATGGCTTTTTCCGTGAGGTGTCAGGGGCTGGGGGACGCTCTCCAACAGGATACAGTGACGCTGAGTGATTTAAGTCCTACCTCTTTCACCATTATTTCAGGGCAGACTGAGGCTCGGGTCCAGCTCTGCCCAAAGCCTGTGCCTAACCCTGAGCTGCAACATTACCTGAAATGCCAAGGGAGAGAGCAATCAACAACCCCAAGCCAGCTCCCGTGCCCTGGAGCTCCAGAAAACAGGGGGTTAACAACAATTTGAAATATATTTAATCTATCTGTCTGGATATGCACATACCTAGCTATACACAAACACTTCTGAGCTGAAAGCTTGAGTGCTCAGAGGCTGCATTTGCACTGGCACTGGGCGGGGGGGGGGGGGGCTGCTAATGGTGCTGCAGCTGCAAGGCAAACCATGGCTACCCTAAAACCTAGCCGGCTGTGCTGAAAGGCTAGGTGGCAGTGCTGCCTGAAGAGGCTCTGGTTCTGTGCACACAAGGTATTAAGTCAGCCTTCCACTGCGGCCTACAATATCGGAAATAACATAGGAAACCGTTAACTCTGAAACTGCAGCCCAGACTTGGAGCCTGGGCCCGATCTCATGGGAAATCTCTCTCACAGATCAGATATATCTCAGCACACAGGGAGGACCAGAACAGATTCCCTATGTAACATGGAAAAACATTTTCAGAACGGGTCCTAAAATCAGGACATTCTCATCCCTTGGGAGAGGGATGTGGAGAACACATGCAGTTTCTCACTTCTCACTGGCTGTCACAGGATACCCCCTAAAGGTTCTGCAGTAGGTGTCCAGCACTAAGAACACTGTCTTTTGCATCTGCTTTCTTTGAAGTGTGGTGCAAAATGCCAATTAATTTTACAGTGTGCAAGGAAGTGCCCTAACTGTCGGCCAGTTTGGCTCAAGCCTGTACAATTGTGTGCATTTCAGCACATCACTGCACCCACATACACCCCGTTACTACACAAAAACTGCACTATATTTACCTGCAAACTTTTGTCCCACCTTGATGTGACATTTCAAGCTCTGAGCTCTGCTGATGGGGAACTACCTTGGGTGTGACGGTTCCACCCTTGGGGCCAGAGATACAGAGAGATAAAAAAGCCCTTGTTTTTTCAAGTAACTCGTGTGTGTTCCTTCCTTCAGCACAATAATGGAGGGGTTGGACCTGACTCTAGACTTCAGATGGGGAGGAAAGCAAAGTACTTTGCTGATGTGAAAAAAGGGAAGGGCAGGAAAACAGCCTGGGCTCTTGTCTGCCCTGATGAACACACACCAAAATGAACTCTTCTAATCAAGCACTGATTTCTGCTCCCGTGAAGACAAATTGTGATGCTAAAGCAGAGTTAAAAGAAAAGAGGCAAGACACTAGACAAGCTCCACCTTTTGCATTCACCTGCATACATTTTCACTGATGGCATCTGTATAACTTGCTGAACAAAAGCCCAACTTTTGGCCCATTTGAGTGCCTAAATCTCAGTCTGCCCCAGAAGTACCAGTATAATTAAAGGGCTAATTTCATATGGATTTAGTTACAGCAGTCTCGCATGGCCACTCTCAGAACGCTCAAGCACAACCCACTGAAGTTTGAGAACAATTCCCACTGACAGCTGAAATACTGAGAGATGCTGCACTGAAGGTGCAGGTATTTGAGGACTCCTTCACTAGTTTCCCACTCCCTTAGTGCAACTGGTGCTGCTCTTTGTGGAGGCAAGCCCTTGATTAAGTAAAGGATATGTTTAGGATAAATAGATTTAAGCCAGATTTAAAATCAATTTAAGTGTGTTCCCAGAGCAGCTTTTCATCCAGTTTTATTAAGCCCCAAAAATATGTTTGGACATAATAAAATGCAGGGAAATCAAGCACATGATGCTCACTGGAGTGTGACTTTTGGCGCTGCAGTGCATGAGGGCCAGTTCTAATGCAATTATGGAAATAACCTCACTCCACATTACTGTGATTCTCATTATGGATAAACTGCTCATGCTTTGAGAGTCACAAGACTGGCAATCCAAGTTTAATTTTCAAGTTTAATGAACATTATTTACCAACTCCTGAATTCATGCTGACAAGTGCTTTTCAGATGGCAGGATATTAGCTCCTGGCTGGTATGGTCTCCAAAGTTTATATTTCAAGATGCCTCCTGGTCCTGCTACTAAGGGGTCAGAAGTCATTATCACTTTCCTCTAGTGGCTCTGGCTTCCTTGCTCGGTGACTGGATTTGCTCAGGGAGATTTCCATGCTGTCGTCTTCCATATCATCCTCTTCCTCATCTTCATCTTCATCCAGGTCAATCTCACTATCCCCCGAGTCCTCCTGCAGGAAAGCAAACAGAATTCATGACTGGTTCAGTTCTCAGATGGCAAGGCATCTCTGCCAGCTCAAAAGTAAAGGATGGTGCTGCTGGCTGATGTTAAGTTGCTCCCTCCCCTGCGGTCTGTGCAATCACACACCTGGGGGCTATGGGGAAGGCTGTTTGTCCACGCTGGTATGGATTCCAGATTTGGACTTGCTCCGGGGAGCAGCAGCAGATTCTGCAAGATGTTTTGTTCCAGCTCAGGCTGCTGTGCTGCTGGCCTTTCAAAATAATGACAGGCCAGAGCTCAGCTGCATCTGGGAGCTAATGGCCCACATGGCTTTCACCAGCAGCTCCCCACTTTGCTAGACAGTGGCTGCTCTGTTCAATTTATTGCAAACCTCCTTCCCCACTTTACAGGGCTGACAAAAATGAACTCCCTGACTTCTGCTGAATCTGTGGTATTAAAAACCTTGCAGGGTGTTTAAATTTAAAGTGATACCTATTGCGAGAGCAAAGAATCAAGGCATAGTGGAAGAAAATAACTGCAGGAGAGAAACCCACCTGTGCTTTGGTGACGATCTTGCGCGTGCCTGGCCGTGCTGGGGCAGATCTCCCCTTGGAGAACCAGAGTGGAAATAACAGCAGAGGCAGAGCAGAAAAAAAAAAGTACAAGAACATAGAAGAAAATATAAAGTAACCAGAATGGGAGCAGGGGATAAGGCAACAAAGATACAGCTCAGGCATCATGTACCACACCAGCAAGTGACAGAGGCTGGGCACAGCTTCTGGCTCTCAGGCAAGCTGAAGCCTGCTCTCTTCTCAACTCCATAAACCGATTAACTCTTTGAGGGGTTCAAATCAGCCTCACTTGTTTCCTTCCCTGATTTCAGACACATAGATGCCTGCAAGAGTAAGCCTCCCAGCCCTGGTGCCTGCTGAGATGCTGTATTAAGAGGGCAGAGCCATGAGACAACCAAAGTGGCTGCAGCTGAGGACAATAAGAGGCTGAAGGCCTCGGCTTTCCACACCTGAATGTGGTAAGGCTGTGCCAACAGGGAGACATGGGAGAAAGCTGTGAACAGAAAAGTCCAAAGGAAGGAGAAATTGCAGAGAATGACTATCCAAAGCTGGCAAGAACATAGTCAAGGAC